CAGCGGCAGCGGTGGCGGCGGCAGCAGCAGCAGCACCTCCCTCCTCCCCTTCTTTGTCACAGTCTCTACCCGCCGGGTAAGTGCACACGTTTTAGTAAGAACAATAAATGGATGCTGTGGATAAGGCTGTAACACATGCGATCGGTACCTTTTTGTAATTCTTTCCCAGCCAAACGCGGACATTATCAAACTGAGAGACGGTATCAGATGCTTCGAAATATTTTACATTTGGGCCGCCGTCTTTCTTCCGCACCGCCATCTTTGCTTGCAGACCACCAGTCGACGTCGCCTGCCTCCCCGTGGCCACATTTAGGTATTACAGCGACTGAACAGAGGATGCTGCAATGACACCCATTTACCAAGAGGGGTCGGGGTGGTTTAGAGAATGGCTTCAAACATGCTTTTGAGAAAAAAGACGCTACTCATTTTGTAATTATAAATATGCTAAGAGTTAAATGTCAGGAAATCTGACTAATCACATTATAAACATATGAGGTGGCTGATTACTGTGATATGAAGTTTTAAAAAAGTTTGAAAAGTTACAGATGTGTAATGTGTGTTAGAAATATTTTTAAAAAAATTAAATGTAAAATAAACAGTTGGGTTAGAAATATATAAATATAAAAATATTAAATATACCTTGGTAAAAATTAAATGTAAAATAAACAGTTGGTTTTCATGACGATTGGCCAACATTTTTTACATTTAAACATGGAATACCCACTCAATACCATAAACTAAATACTTCCGTGTCAATGGCTTCCATATGTTTTTTGTCATGCTTGGACAGAAATGTTGGGGTGAAGAATAGTTGCGGTTACATCATAAAAACTAATGCTGCCATCTTGAAATACTGTAGAACACAAACATACTTAATGGGCTGCTGAAACGTTCTTCTAAAAATACCCTATGATTAATACATTAGTTATTCTCTGAGTCATTTCTTAGGGGCAATTAGATTGTCTGTGTGTGATGGGATGTTCGACTGCAGGATTGCTTCCTTTTGCATGGAATTTTCCCCCTATTATGTTAGGATTTTCTGGATCCAGAAGGTGGCAGTAATGTAACTTTCTGGCTACAGAGTTTCTGTTTTAAATTAAAAAATGGAGTTGATGGAATCAACAGGTTAATCTTTGTCAAGTATTTCTCTATAAATACATTTTCATATTTATACAGAATTCTGTACCATTGCATTCAAGGAGGGAAGGAACACAACTTCCTTTACAGGAATACTGACACGAACAGACCTGCGTTTGTAGGAAGTAAATTACATAAAGAACTTTCAATGTACAGAAATTTCATTACATATAGACATTTATAAAAGGTGAATTAAAACCAGCCATTTAAGTAGAGCTGTAACTGATACCCACTTATTTTTTTTCATCCCAGTGACCTTTTCACTGGTCTACATTTAGTCTGAGCCTCAAATCCTCAAATTAACCTTCATTAACAGAGGGGGAGAGAGAGAGAGAGCGAGAGAGATTGAATCTTATATGACCCAGGCTAATTGGTGCAAAGCCCAGAGACAACACTGGAGATAGTTTACTCCTTCAACTGGTATTCCTCAGACTGCCTGTGTGTTTGTGTTTGCTGATGCCCATGTGTGCACATATCAGAGCAGCAGTGTTTGTGCACCGCAGCCGCCTGTGCTGGCGGAGAGAAACCTATTGATTATTTTAATCCTTCTATTTGTGAGTCTGTGATCCTCTCGGCTCAGCCTTCCACAGGGAGATTGCTAATGGGGCTGAACGCTTCCCTCCTCAGCCCTCTCTCCCTGTCCAATTAACTTAATGCTAGAATCTGGGGGGGGAGTGGGGGGTGTACAGCGGGAGTCGCAGGGCGGATGGCGGTGGTGGCGACCGCTGTGATACAACCAGGGCTCAGTCTTCCCAGTACAACATTTCCCCAACCACTCTTTTACACCACCAGAACCTCCCACTCCAGGATTGTATTATCTCTCACCTTTAATTAAAGATCCATCTCCATGTTCTCATTCTGGTGAGGTGAGAACTCCCTTCAGCCATTATCTCATCTTCTTTGGGCGGCTCTGCAGAGGGTAGAAACAGAGGCAGGTGCAGAAACAGGTCTTATTATGGAAACCTCATACTTTCTGACGGGCTGCTGTACTTATACTGGAGGTATACTTCGAATCGCAGTAATGAGTATTTACCACTGAGGCTCAGGTTTGTTGTTTGGTATTGGTAAATTTAGAATATTACGAGTGTAATCTAATTATATCAAGTTCTGTTCAGGAGCTGTATTCATATTTACAGTGTAAACACCCGGGGATCACTAATACAAAAAAACCTAGCACAACTTTTTAAATACTTTTTTTAGAATATATATATATATATATATAAATATAACATGCAAAGTCCAGTTGTTTTTTAATGCTAATTAGCTTTGTTAGGAATTCAGTAGTCCCATCAGTGTGCAAGCTAAAAACATATCATTGAATTGTGTATTTTTAAAATGGAAGGATATATGTTCAGTATTTAAAATCTACAATTTCCTTTTTTTTCCTTATGAAGCTAAATGAAAATGAGGCAAAATGTTGTTGTAAACTTAAACAGCCCTTGAAGTTCTCGAGTAGCTTGAAAATGTTCCTCTAAAATATCTTTACTACTTTTGCAAATTGCAAAAAAAAAAAATCAGCTTGTTTACACATTTCCTGTTATTTGTGTATTTTAAGTGTTTTTCTATTACATGACTGACTGTTGCTGCCAAAAATAATTCAATAGATGAATGTGTTAAAGGTCACTGAGGTGTAGTTAATTATTGGCTTAATAAAGTTTAATGTAACCAAGAGTGCCATAGCTACACACTGTAAATGCAACACAAATGTTAAAAAAATTAAAAACATCACAGCAAATGTTGATAGAAATACACTCATTGGTAAAATATATGGGCCAATAAGCAAAATATAGAACAAGTCTACAAGTCTACACAAGTCTACACAAGTCTACATAAGAATACACCTGTGCATTTACATAAATGTATTCACTGACTCCCTCATGTTTTGAGAATCTAAAAACGAGAGTCTACCTGTGCATTCACATAAATCTATTCACTGACTGCTTCATGTTTTGAGAATCTAAAAACGAGAGAGAAAATAACACATCAAATATAAGAAGAAAGAACCTGGCCATTTTACAGTCGTAATAATTCATAGTTTCTTTCTTTATTGTGCAGAGAAATGTCATTTTATTCACGACAAATACACACGATTCAGCTTGCAAAACACAGTGACGACAATGAATTCAAACACAGACAACAGTGCCAGGGGATGGCAACGCAGCATGACGGAGGTTATGTAAAGCAGCTCATCAGGAAAATGGCAGAAAGAGTTCTTATAAACCACAGCACAAAAATGACAGGTCAATCAGACAGGTCACATTCAAATCTCACCGAGTTACAGTCATGCTTTCAGGCCTCGGAGGTGGAACTGATGTCACCCAGAAGGATAAGGTCTCTGACACACACTTGTACACGCAAGTGTATCACTGGGCCAACAGTAGAACCGCTGCTACGACTACAATACACCACTAGGAATTAGTTCCACACACAATCCAGCTACACACCATGGAAAAAAGGACGAAAATGTCGTCGAATATATTAATTTGGCAACATCAACTTTTTTTTTTTTTTTTTTTGTGGCTACAGATCTGTAATTTTTATTTTTATTTTTGTTTTACATTGACATGCTTCAGTTGTTCACTTTAAGTGTTTCCCAACACAGAATAAGCGGAGGTCTCCAAACGCAAAACGATGATTTGTCTCTAGTTGCATAGAGATTTACAGGTAGTGTTCTGAGTTAGCAGGTTTTCATCACGGTGCTACACATTGATCTGTTTGTTCATTAAGTAGGGCTCATATGAATAACGTGGTCAAAAAAACTCAACAAACAAAACAAATGCCGTAAAAACCTCTGTACAGCAAATAAAACAAAAATGAAGAGATTGGTGATTTAGGTTAGGTTAGCTCTGACAAAAATAGTTTTATATGTTGTGCAGAGTAGGTATGTTCATAGACACTTAGGCCATTCATAAAAGAGCAACTTTAGCTGCAGTACCAACGCTGGCCAGCAGGAGTTGGCTAAAAAAACAGGCAGGGAATTCAAGGATCCTTCATTAGTGAGTTATGGTTGTCCTGCATCACTTTAAGGAGCTTTTGTTAAACCAAAGGTTCAATACACCTTACCCACAATCCCCCTCTCAAACTAAATCACATTTTTTAAAATTAAATTATTAAAGAATAATGTTTCTTTACCAGCTGTTCAGAGATTTATACTATATATATAATTGTATATAAACACTGTATAGTGATGTATAGAAAAATGTTACTATAAATAAAATCTAGAGACTGTTGATCAATTCTGCAGGGCTCAAAATAACCTCACCAGTGCAATGCAACATCAATCTCTTAGTAAGCGTCAAAGTAGGATTTTAAAAAAAGAAAAAAAAATTGACAGCCCTATATGTAATATTTTAAATAAAATAATAAACTTCGAGCTGTGTGTCATCACAAGTGGTATTTGGTGTGAAACTGTGATAAAATATTGACCAAAAT